AAATTTTTTAAAAAAAAAAAAAAAAAAAAAAAAAAAAACAATTCTGAACAATATAGCTAGTAATGTATCTTTACACAGATGTTAAGATGACAATTTAGATTATTCTCGAAACTAATCCTGAGAAAAAAATTCTGTTTACAATTTAAACAATAATGTTATGTAAAAAGTATTAACAAATCCACTATTACAAATGTCAGTTTTCCTATGTGGTCATCTATATATACACAATAAAATGGTAAATATATGCAAAAATAATAAAAAATCATGCACAAATTACTTTCACCTTTAAAGGCAGGGCTTCCCTCAAAAATACAATTTTTCATCTTTTTTTGGGTTTTTTGGTTTTTTTTTTTTGTTTTGTTTTGTTTTGTTTGATACCACCCCCTAAACACACTGAAAACTACCCCTACAGGTCAGCATGAGCTGATGGGAAATATATTTATTTTACATTCAAGCTTTATATCCTAAATGACCCTGTTGTAGCATATGACTTATCAAATGAGCAGCCATTTTTTCCTCTTTTTTGCAGTGATCAATCTTCATGATCCGTTCCGTGGCGAGCTGGGAAAAAAAATGCAGTTGCTAATCAACAGTCTGAAGCTCCGGAAGATATCCAAGGAGTCACTATCAAACTATCCTGTAGCATGAGATCATTGCACACAGAAGAACAGTCATTAAATAGGCAACTATCTACAAAGGTCTGAAAGGGCTGCGTCCCTCTTGTGTTTCCTCTTTTTGCCATGGAAATACTGATTATGTGATTTGCTGCCTTGATGTTGTTTGTTTGTCACTGAGGTACCATGGCTTGAGTTTGTTGGACCTTGGAAGCCTTTGTTGGAAGAAGAGCGGAATAACCTTGCAGATCCATGCTGCAAAACAAAAAGAACCTAATCAACATGCATTACAAACAACATATGCCAATTACAGCATTTGAGTTCTGGTTAAAAAAAAACAAAAACAAACCCTTAAACACTAATTTGAGGAGGTATTGTATTTAAAAGGATCTCAAAATTAAGGGAAGAATTATATCTACATCTAACTTCTTGTGCTAAAAGGCTTTCACTTCAGCAACCTCAGTAATGAAAGAAATAGAATGCTGATCGCTAGCCTTTACATAACACACTTCAAGAGTGACAGGACCACATACTTTATTTTGTAGTAAGAATTGTACTATGTACCCTTCACTAAAAGGAAGTGGATAATTCAACTGCACACGTCTTCTACATCTAAAATTTCCCAGAACAACTTATAAAAGAGTCTATGTAATCAGTTTAACGGGTATAAAAATCACTGAACAACAACCAGTCCCAGAAGGGACCGAGAAGGAACAAAATGACCCTAGAATAATTAATGATCCTGGAATGCCTCAAGAAAAAGCCTGCATATTCTGTTACACTAGAAAAATAATCAGGGAAAAAAAATCCTTTTCAAGATCAGCTGTTCTTCCATAGAATGTCTCCATACTTTCATAAGCATGTATCCTATTAAAATAGTTTAAAATATTTATGTTTTTTAGAACAGTTCCAAACCTGAGATTTGTTCATGCTGCTAGATGTATTAGCCGTTTGACTGTTTTGCATTTTTCCAACTGATTGGGAAGATTCCAGCGATACATCTTGTGACCCCACTCGGTTTGTGGTAGACTGACGACAACTCAGCTGTTTAGACGTTTTGCATGGTGTTCCATCAGAATCCTTCAAGAAGACAAAGGTATTAGACAGCTTATGTTCTCAGAATAAAACTAAAGTAAACAAAGGTTAAGGAGTAAATATGTTGGTCCCACCAGATAAAGCCATTTTCAATCTAGAATTCCATCAAATTCATCAATGCACAGTCCTGACTGTTTGAAGTCTTTTAAAATGCCTTTATTAAACCAGATTTTTTTTAAAAACCTATTTAAATACATGTTCATGGCAATTTATTTTGGGAATTTTATTTAAATCGTATCAGCCCTTTGAAATGCATGCATTATTCAGGAGACAGGGGCAAAGAATGTGCTTACACTTTACTTCATATAGGAATGCAGTGGGCCATCATATGAGTTTAATTTTGACAAATCAATTAATGCACATTGGATTTGTAAGAAAAATAACCCCAATGCAAATCTGGCTTCTGTATGTAATTATTGGAACCATCATAATTTGTCTAATGTATATTATACACATATACAAAGAGGGAGAAAAAAATTCTGATCAAGTTTCAAAATAAGAACTTTAATACTTACTACATCACTAGAACTGGATAATGTGGAAGAGGAGGAAGACAATGGACCTGATGACGAGTTTGAAGAATGTTTACTGAGCGTTTCTGAAGTTTTACTTCGAGATTTACCTAGTGCTTCTTTCTCTTCAGAAATATTATTGTTACACTTGTCCAACTGTTGAGTATCTACTATCAAGGTTACCCCATTACCTGCAAAATAATATTTAAAAACATAAAAAGAAAGGAAACTGTTCATTTCTAATAAACTCTACATTTTGTATACACAGCACAGTATTTTTCAGAGTAGTCCCAGCAAAACCTATAGACTTCTCCCAGATGTAGCAACTTAGGATCAGACCTAATACTCAAGAAGTCCATTGTGGAGTGTGATGAAATAAACTACCATACTATACCGAATTTAAAAATACACATAAGACGTCAAAAGAGAACAGACCACAGAAATGCTTTTTAACTTCCTACCTATGCCTTTGGCTACTTAATTTGGGTTCCTAAATGGGAATTGCTGGTTGCAGATCTTCTAAATAATGTGGCCTTGTGTTCTGGCAAATGTGGTAAAAAGGTTTAAGAGCAGAGAAACAGCCAATCTTGGAACAAAACCAAGAAGAATCCCAGCATGAACTTCCTTGTTACGTTTCTTATAAGTAAGATTTACTGTTTTATATGTAAAAGGAACCAGGTTGCCCAAATTTGCTTATTCCTAGGAACACAGTGCTATACTTCTATTCAAAAAGACAGATTTTTAGGAGAAATATTCCTCTGTGGCCCTTTTATGAATGCCCTCAGCATATACTGAGCTTGGTTTCCAGTAGATCTACAAGTTCATTTTCTAGTTATGAATGTTCATATACATAACTAATGTTATGTACATACAATAACAATTAAGTAGTACCATGAAGCTTGAGGGATCCAACTGCTACAGCCAGCTGGCATATCTTTACCATGCTTATTTACAGATTAAAAAGAAGAGAAGGTGCCACAAGCAGTCTTGCAATCAAGACAGAGGCTACTGGAGTCCACCCACTAAGGCAAACTTTAAATTCTGGTCAAGTGTAAAGATGGCCAATTATTTCTCAATTTTTAGACATTACAAAGTTTCAATGCATTTTAGAGTATATACTATTCAACTCATCTAAGTGATGATCTCTAGCCACAAAACAGAGCACTGGAGTTCTGTTTGACATTAAGTCATTAACCATGGCAGAAAATATAACAAAGCAGAGGTTCAAAAACCAATCCTACAGTCATCCTTAACAATTAGAAGGTTAAAATAAACAGAGGCCATGGACAGACATACATTTCAAGTGCTCCAAATTTCACTCCAATTTGGAATGCTTCAGGCAGGGACAGACATGCAGCCTTCTGCTGTAACCTACTGCCAGGGTGCTTCCAAAAGAAAAAAAAAAAAAAAAAAAAAATCAATGAGGGTATACAGCAAGTGCTCTCCAGCCAGAGGAGAATCCTGTGGCTGGGGGCAGAGAACAGTTTCTTGCAGACTCCAGAGAAGGTTGAGGACAACTGTGCACCTCCCAGTGGAAAACAGGAGACTGGAGGCCCTGCACTCCCTGCCAGAACTGGAAGACCCTGTGGCAGAGACATGCAAAGGATTTTCTAGCTCTCGAGGTTGCTGAGGCTGTGCAAGTGCACATGTGCATGTTTGAAGGGCTTTAGATGTTACATCTGTCCAGGACTAGAAAGATTGCTTCGAATAGTCTTCATATACTTGGATATCTCCCCCATGATCTATTCCCTTTAGTAATAAAAAGTCTATAAGGAATTATGATTATTATTCAAGTATTGTTCTGTTTCTGATATTTACTCTCTCCAGGGAAGTCAATCCCTTTTGTATCATGCTCACAGATACATTCTTAGCTAGTTGAGATCAAAGACATGTTTAATTTCAGATCAGGAAACACTTCAGAAGTTCAGCAGAGAAACAAAAAAATAAAAATAAGTCAAGGTTTGTTACTGTCCTTAAAGTATGGAGTACTTTAAAAGTGACTGTATTGTGTGTATTCATTTTACAACAATGTACACTTCAAACACAACAGTAGAGAAACATACAGTGATAATTTTTAGAACTGTTTTAAACAGAAGCTTTACAAAAGTGTCCCCTTGGGTGTCAGTGCTCTTTCTGGGTTTGTTACCAGGCAAAATCAGTGACACCAGAATAAAGATTAGTGTTAACGCTTTTTTTTCCATAGCTACTCAAATCCAAATTTTCCCTCTAGATTATGCTAACAGTTTGCCAGAGAATTAGATGCAATGTTGAATGTTCATATTTAGACCTCTGCCATTACCTTATCTGAATCAAAAGCAACATAGCCAAATCTTACCATTACATGAAGACTCTGTTCTACTCTGAATTCCCCACTGCTTTGATATCCAATCTCTGTATGTGGCCACTTCTTGTGTTACTCTAATTATTCTACCTAATATACTGTGAAAGAAAAAAAGAAAAGAAGCAAAACCTGGTCAGTTTCAGATTTTAAATACGTAAGAATGCATGTAAATATGGTGTGACTTAATTTTAAAAAAAGTTTTACCTTTCAGTTTCATTGTTGGGATAATATTTAGCTATTGGCGATACAGCATGGCTCAAAACAACATATGCATAATCAAAGGCCTGTTTCACTTGCATGGCACCATATGAACTCCTCCCAACATCATTACCTTAAAATAAATACATAATAATCATGCACTAGTCAAAACTGCAACACATGAAAAAGTACATATTTTATAGAGCATGAAATGCCATATAGAGCTACACAACATTTCAGTTTGAGTGGGATCCTAAGATTTTAGAGTATACCAATTAAATCTTTCTATCATGATGAATAAATATGATTTATTATAAAATATCAATTATATTAAAATAGAATCCTATAAACAAAATACCAATTTTGTGATCACAGATATCAAAACTGCCAAGTATATGTCCATTTACAGAATCAAATGGGATGCCATAGGCATATCTAAATGTTTTCTCTCCTGACTCCAGGTCCAGTGCTAACAAAATAAACTTCACCTACTCACCCCACTGGACTGTGGCTGTAAGTACCTGCTATCGGGTATGAACCTCTTGCAGCCCCAATAGAGTCTGCAGAGCTGCCAGCTTCTGCAGATAAGGGAGGAACACTCACAGTTACCACCCCTGCTCTCCCCAAGATGAAACACGGCGTGGTCATTGTTGGAGACTCCCTCCTGAGGGAGCATTCTGCCACCCCGACCCCTTAGCCCAGAAGGTCTGCTGCGGAGAGGATCCCAAAGCTTATCCAGCCTTCTGACCACTACCCTATGCTCCTTATCCATGTGGGCACGAATGACACAGGTCGGAGCAATCCTGGCCGTGTCATGAGTGGCTACAGGGCTTTGGAAGTGGGGCTTAGGGGGTTGGGGGCACAACGTGGTCTCTTCCTCGATCCTCCCAGTTATGGGTCACGAGCTGAGGAGAGAGAGACGGATTGAGGTAGTCAACCGAAGACTGTGGCTGGTGTCATTACGAAGGCTTTGGCTTCCCTGATCACAGTCCGCTCTTTGGTGAGAGGCAGTGGTCTCCTGGGAAGAGATGGCCTCCACCTCACTTCACTGGAGAAAAAGCTCTTTTCAGCCAGAGTGGCTGACCTGCTTGACCAGGCTTTAAACTAAGCCTGCTGGGGGATGGGTGGGCAACCACCAAAGCAAGCCCACTAGGCAACTTCTGCAAAACCAGCAAGTTAGGGCACTCAAGGGACTCCACTCCTACCCCAGCCCTGGAACGGTGGCCTCCTGGGAGTGCAAGGAAGCCTAGGGCTTCCAATGGGACACTCACGTGCCTGTACATCAATGCCAGGAGCTTAGGGAACAAAGAGGAGGAACTGGTCCTCCTCCTAAACAAGAATGAGTACGATCTCACAGGGATAATAGAAATCTGGTAGGACTCTACCTATGACTGGCCCACAGGTATAGATGGCTATACCCTGTACAGGAGAGACTGTGTGGAAAAAAGGGGTGGGGGTGTAGCTCTCTCTGTCAAGGAAAGCTACACGTCTCTGCAAGTTGACACGGGCACCCAGGGAGGACTGGAGACGCTCTGGGTTAAAGTACGTGGGGAACATGGCACAGGGAACACAATGGTAGGAGTCTACTACAGACCACCTAATCAGGAACAAGAGCTTGACCAGGAATTCGCCAAGGAACTGGCTGAGGCTGCACACTCCTGGTCCATGGTTGTCATGGGAGACTTCAACTACCCAGACATCTCATGGGAAGAGCACTGGGCTGAATCCCAGCGGTCACAAAGCTTCCTCACGTGCATGGACCAGCTCTACCTGACTCAAGAAGTCTATGCACTGACAAGAGGTAAAGCGCTGCTAGACCTGGTACTTGCCGAAGGGGATGATCTAGTCAGTGACCTAAGAATCAAAAGAAAGCTGGGAGACTGTGACTGCGAGCTGATCACTTTCACTATCCACCAAAAAGCTGGCAAGTCAGTCAGCAGTGCAGATGCCCTCGACTTCAGGGAAGCTGATTTTAATAAACTCAGGAGGCTTGCTGTCGAGGCCCTAAAAGGACCATGACTCAACAGAGAAGGGAATTCAGGATGAGTGGTTGCTCCTTAAGGAAGTGATCCTGTAAGCACAAGGGATGTCCATCCCATCTCAGAGGAAAGGTAACAAAAGGGGACAGCAAACCCCTTGGCTCAGCAGGGAACTCGTGGACATCCTGTGTCTGAAGAGAGAGGCTTATAAAGGGTGGAAGACGAGAATCACCACAAAGGAGGCGTATTCTGCACTGGTCCAGACCTGTAGGGAGCAAGCCAGGAAAGCCAAGGCTGCAACCAAACTCTAACTGGCTACATGCATCATTGACAACACAAAGTGCTTTTTCAGATATGTGGGGAGTTGGAAGAAAAGCAAGGGTAATGTTGGACCCCCACTAAATCAAATGGGACAACTGACACCCAGGAAAAAGCCAACCGGCTTAATGGGTTTTTTTGCATTGGTTTTTCACCAGGCCAAAGGGACTACCCTGCCTAACACTATGCAGGATGGCCAGGGTGAGGGTGAATTTATACCCAATATCGGTGTAGACCTTGTAAGAAACACCTTGAGAGGCTGGACACCTTGAAGTCAGCTGGTCCTGACAGTTTGCACCCCAGGGTACTTAAGGAGCCAGCAGGCATCATAGCCCAGCCACTGGCAAGGATCTTTGTGAACTAGTGGCACAAGCACTTCTACAGGAATGTCTACATTGCAGTCACAGATGACAGACTGCTCATTTTGTTCACCTGAAATAAGGATTAGTCTCATTTGGAATATGCAGTACACAATTCTTAAAAAACTGAATGAAAAGAGTTTGAAAAAGGAGCTGTTTTTAAAGTTACTTTTCCCATTTGACTCCTTTGGGTTAGCTTTAGATTTTGATGTTTCATGTTAAGATACAATACCTGGTTGTAGCGGGTCTTCAATATATAGCATTGAAGGTCTATACCCATCCAGCATACTCTTCTGCACTTCATCTTTTGCTACATATGAGCCACCATCCTTTATTCGGATTCCAGTCTTTAGGTAATTGAAATGGCGACCATATAATTCAAAAAATTCTATTAAAAGAACACCATAGTTGGCACCCGGTATGCAGGCATCTTCCCTGGGATGTAGCTATTTAAAAGAAAAGGAAAAATAACCTTGTTTCACCTTTTCTTAAAGAGTCCCACTTTCAAATTTCTTTATGTTCCTTTCAGATGCAATCTGCCTAGATTTAAGCTGTTAACATGTTAAACACTGCCTTACCATGAATTAACTCATAATGCCCTTGTGAAGCATAAACACCCTAATATTCCAGCAGATTGTGCAAAAAATCCTATACCACAGACTTGTGTTTCTAATACAAATATAATTTAGTCTAGACAACTATCTAAGTGTGGCCTGTACACTGTTGTGTACAAGTCCCAAAGTGTGAAAAAGTGGCTCAAGTAATTTTGTAGACAGCATATAAAACTTCAGAGGATATCAGTCTGTTTCCCAAATTAAATATGCCTTTCATGACCAAAAAAGGGAAAACTGGGTTGAAGTAGATTGCGTTTTCTTGAAAGAAGGATGCCTAGAATCTTCAAAAATTGAATGAAGAGAGTTTTAAAAAGTGGAGCTGTTCTTAAAGTTACTTTTCCCATTTGACTCCTTTGGGGCTAGCTTTAGAATTCTATGTTTTGTGAGTTAAGCTACAATACCTGACTGAGGCTCATTTGCTGATTGCCAGCAAATACTCTTTTAGTTGACTTCTCTCTCACTCCTGTAGGATTCCAAATCTGTGAACAGACTTAATCCTGGTCATGTGTGTGCAATGCATGTGTTTGAAGACACCCCTCCATGCACTGCTAAAGCAAGCATTTTATAAAAAAAAAGTTGAGATGTAGGTGGTAAAAGGAATGTATGCATTACACAATTACTGCTAAAACATTTTATCACTGTAAAAATAAATCTTCTAGAAATTAACACGGGTGATTGCACATAACTAATCCAAGACCAAGAAAGCAAAAAACACTGCCACATACTCATGCTTACAGTATATACTGTAATCATAACTGAAAGAACTATAAAAGCATTGAAATTTGTAAGTGCTATTACCACATTTACCTACATCAAACTCTGAATTTAAGGAGCTGTGTGGCTGGGCAGAGACCAAAACTTCCATGTGTTCTGTATGCCAGGAGGGAATGGAGCCTGACACTAAGCAGCAGGGGAAGGAGGGGCAGGTAGAAGTTGTGGGAGACAGGCAGCTGCAATGACTCCAACTCTGGCCCTGACCTGGGTCCAAGGCTGGAGCTGGACCTGCAGTGGATCTTGTTCTAATTGAACATATTCATTTTCTCATTGTATCTGTAGGAATGATATGTTCCATACTGACACATTTTAGTGCTTTGAAGTCATGGATATGAAGTTGTTTGTTCAAACATGAAATTTCTCACATTTGATGATAATATGTTTTTGTTCCATCTGATTAAAGTGACTGAGCTGTGGAAAACCAAAGCTTCTCCAATGTAAATGCAATGTACGAATATTTTCTCCGTGCTTAAAAAAATGGGACAAGAAAAAGAAAAGTAAATCAGAGCTGTGTACTACTTTTAAAGGAATAAAAATGCAAACTTAGAAAATTAGTGCCATAATGCCATCTTGGGGTTTCTAGGAATATCACAACGCACTGCTGTGTTCCCAAGCACTACATTGCTAACTGAAGCCACTAACATCATGAAAACATTAGTACAAGATTATCCTAGATACCTGCACATGTTGTGTATAACTGAAAAAGTACAGCACAGTACACGAGATAGAGGGGGAAGATAAGTGATTAAAAGAAGAGACTATCTGCAAATTCTAAGTGCTTCCAATGCTAGGATCTTGGGGTCATAATACAGAAAAGCAACAAAAGCACCACTCCAATAGCTGTGTTAAGGTCAGAACGTGATAAAATAGTTTTGCAGATGTTACATAGCTGAATACAAAATTTCTCTTTACATTTTAGTTCTGCTATGAGCTGTAATGATAATCTAATTTGACCACTACTTCAGCCTTTTAACTGATGGGTTTGAAGCAAGATGCATGGCTACTGACCCATGTGAACAGTACTTATGGATTTAAACCATACATTTAAATGTGGATTTTGTCAACGTGAGGAAAAAATGGCATTTAAACTTGTAACCTTGTGAGTATACTCTAGGTAGAAGTCAATGGGTCTGATTCAAGTAAATATGGTAAGATAGCAATGCCAAAATCCCACCCAAATAGGTATCATGTTCTAATTTAATAAATTCATTTTCTCATTTTATTTGTGGGAGTGACATGCAAGTATGGCAGAAGACCAGCTTGGCTGAGCAGGAAACTCCTCAGTAAACTAAATCACAAAAATAAACTTATAAGTGGAAACTTGGACAAAACAACTAGGGAGGAGTATAAGAGTATTGCTCAGGCATGCAGGGACGAAGTCAGGAAGGCCGAAGTGCAATTGGAGTTGCAGCTGGCAAGGGATATGAAAGGTAACAAGAAGGGTTTCTACAAATATGTTAATAACAAGAGGAGGATTAGCGAAAGTGTGGGTCCCTTACTGAACGTGGGAGGCACCTTAGTGATAGAGGATGCTGAAAAGGCTGAAGTACTCAATGCCTTTCACCTCAGTCTTCACAGGCAAGGTCAGCTCCCAAACTACTGCACAGGGCAGAACAGTTTCGGGAGGAGGTAAGCAGTCAACAGAGGAAAAGAACAGGTTAGGGACTGTTTAGAAAAGCTGGACATGTACAAGTCCATGGGGCTGGACAGACTGCACCTGAGGGTGCTGAGGGAGTTGGCTGATGCGACTGCAGAGCCACTGGTCATCATCTTTGAAAACTGATGGCAAATTGGGAGAGGTCCAGGATGATTGGAAGAGGGCAAGCATAGTGCCCATGTTTAAGAAAGGGAAAAAGGAGGATCCAGGGAACTACAGACCAGTCAGCTTCAGCCCAGTCCCTGGAAAAATCATACAGCAGATCCTCAAGGAATCCATTTCTAAGCACTTTGAAGAGAAGAAGATATTAGGAACAGTCAGCATCGATTCACCAAGGCCAAGTCATGCCTAACCAACCCGAGTGCCATCTATGATGAGGTGACTTGCTGTATGGATATGGTATACCTTGATTTTAGCAAGGCTTTTGATACAGTCTCCCACAACATTCTCACAGGCAAGCTATGGAAGAATGGGCTGGATGAATGGACTATAAGGTTGATAGAAAACTGGCTGGAGCATTGGGCTCAGAAGGTAGTAATCAATGGCTCAATGTCTAGTTGGCAACTAGTATCAATAGGAGTGCCCCAGGAGTCAGTCCTGGGACTGGTTTTGTTCAATATCTTCATTAATGACCAAGAAGATGGCACAGAGTGCACCCCCAGCAAGTTTGTGGATGACAACAAGCTGGGGGGAGTAGTAGATACGCTGGAGGATAGGGCTAGGATCCAGAGTGACCTAGACATATTGGAGGAGTGGCCCAAAAGGAACCTCATGAAGTTCAACAAGGACAAGTGCAAAGTGCTACACTTAAAATGGAACAATCCCATGGACCAGTACAGGCTGGGAGCTGACTGGCTGGGCAGCAGCTCTGCAAAAAAGGACCTGGGTGTTACAGTGGAGAATAAGCTGAATATGAGCCAGTAGTGTGCCCTTGTTGTCAAGAAGGCTAACGCCATACTGGGCTGAATTGGCAGGAGTGTTACCAGCAGGTCAAGGGAAGTGATCACCCCCCTCTATTGAGCACTACTGAGGCCACATCTGGAGTACTGGAGTTTTGCGCCTCCCACTACAGAAAGGGCATGAACAAACTGGAAGAAGCCCAGTGAGGGCAACGAAAACAGTGAGGGGTCTGGGGCACATGACGTATGAAGAAAGGCTGAAGGAGCTGGGCTTATTTAGTCTAGAGAAGAGAAGACAGAGGGGGTTTAAAAACAGCCTTTAGCTACCTGAAAGGGTGGTTGAAAGAGGATGGAGCTGGACTGTTCTCAGTGGTGACAGATGACAGAACAAGGAGCAGTCGTCACAAGTTGCAGCAACAGAAGTTTAGATTAGATATTCAGAAGAATTTTCTCACTTGGAAGGTAGGACAACACTGGAACAGGCTACCCAGAAAGGTTGTGGACTCTCTACCCGTGGAGCTTTTTTTAAAACCTGGCTGAACAAAGCCTTGGTTGAGATGATCTAGTTGGAGATGGTCTTGCTTTCAGCAGGGGATTGGACTAGATGACCTCCAGAGATCCCTTCCAACCCTAATTTTCTATGAGCCTATGGAAGGTACAAACTCATTTCTGAAGTTGGTCTGCTGAAGTGGGACAATGTGTTGTCCGCTGTACCACTATTGATCAGGGTTCACCTAGAGTTTAATCAACATTTTACACTGAAGAACAGCCAATTACCTTCAGTCTGATATTCTGAAAATGCTACCAGCATATTAAAAAGCACTCAGTTACTTTGAGTGCCTTTACAGTAGATCCCTCAAGTGCCATTTTAAATAATATAGGCCAGATCAGCAAGTTTCACATATTAATAAATAAATATATATATTTAACTACTTTCACTCTTTAAGTCCTCCAAAGCAAATGGCTCTCATTCCACAATCTGGATTCCAATGTTTAAAAATTCTGTCCGAAAATCTTAACTAAATTCTAACTATGAGGGCAGAATTTGGCCCCAATTACACACGCAACAATCAAATGTAAACAATGAGGGCAGAATTTGGCCTACAGACATGTTATTAAACACTGAAACTTCCTATAGACGTGGCATTAAACACTGAAATTTCACAAGCAGGAGAAAACTTTCTGACATAACAGCATTGACAATTTTAGTTAACTCACCTGAAGAAAGCTGACAGCCATTAAAAAAAGACTATATGAACCAATTCCACCTGTGAATACTTCATTAAGGTCCCTCTGTAACAGGAACTGTTTCAATACTAAAACCAGATATGGTAATACAGGATATTTCTGAAAAAGAAAACAAGGGTTTTTGGCTAAACGTTATGCATTCATTTGCTGCACAAGCCACAGTGAAGATGGTTGTGCCTAAATCGCAAGACACCCATATCTTTACTTGATATTACCATACTAAACACAGCAAGTCGAAGTGACATCAGATATCTTTATATTCCTTTGCTTATGGACAAAGTTATTTTTACATTGAAATGGAGAACAGTGGTCTGCAAGTTTCCCTGGACATCTTCTAAGGGATGTCAAAGGGCAGAAGAAAGGGGTGAGGGTAACCCTGCTCCCTATGATTACTACAAAGTTTCCCTCGATCTACTCCACAGTACTGTTGCTATGGAGTAAATTTAAAGAGAAACTGAGTTGGTCCTGGTTGAACCAAACACGTATCTGCTTTTCTTACAACTTTTCAAGGAAAACTAAAGGCATATCAATGCAACCGATAGAAGACACTTCACAAGAGTTGCATTCTTCAGTTGCTAGACACTGAAGCCAAGATCCGACACAGTTACACCTGTGAGCGTTCCTAATGAAGGGCCTCTTTCTGAAAAATTAAGTCCACAAATTGTTTTCTAAAGAACTACTAAACTTGTATTAACTAGCTCTTCAAGAGGTTTTATGCACATGAAACCCACTCAAGATATCTGTTGGAACGATGCCAGCACCCTCCATGTCCTTGTACACATTATCCAGAGGAAACAACCTCTGTTTTTTCATCAAATCCAGAATGCCAGTGCTAACAGACTCTACAGTGGCAGAAAAGCAATACTGGGTTGTAGGATCCATAAAAGCAAAAAACACTACAAAAGAAAACAACAATTTCTGCAAAATGAGTAGCCGTTCTTTTATCAAGTATTTGTCCACATGGGACCTACTCTCATTGTCTTGCTGGCAGCATACCAAGTACATGGTTATGAGGAATCCTATTTAAATAAAAACTCAAAGACTTTCCTATAAAACTAAAAGTGAGATCTACTTTCTTTCAAGGAAGTGGAAGAGTACCCTCAAGTCATTTAAACTCTGTTTTGGCATTAAAAGATCATGACCTTCAAATGACAACTGTGCCCATACAGGATTTGAGACCTCAGTGATTGCAGCCACAACAATCTATGCCCAGTGGCAGAAGCAGTTACTGTCCTGACAGTGGTGTCTGACATTTACAACTTTTGGTAATCCCATCATAGCATTTTAAATTATTATTTCTGAGTTTCTCTCTTAAGAACTGCAAGTCTGTCCATGAACTGGAAGATTGTCTCACTGGAGTCATTTGTACTTCATTAGCAAGGTCTGGCAAATGTGGGGAGAGTAGAAGTTTCCTTCTAAATAAGTTTTTTTTTTTTTTTTTAAATCAGTTCCTGAGAGCAGTATTTTATTTTCTCATATGCTACAGCTACAAGGAGCTCCTGAAAAGAATGGTTGTAAGAATACCTTATTTATTTTGGAAGGGCTTTCTCAGTTGTTTTCAGAATGTATGTCCTTGTACACAATGACCAAAGGAAATAAGTGACTAAGAAAGAGGCAGAGGCCTACCAATGATCTTTGGACATCTTAGCCGCATCCAGATGAGCATGGACCTGCAGCATGTGGTGCTCCAGATCTGTCTGCAGCGCTACACACCACACACACAGGCATTCCCTGCACTGCTACCTTGCAGCATGGGGGTGGGGGAAGCACACAACCAATTCTCCCAATCTAACTTCCTACAATCGGCACGCCTCACTTTGAAGGGTAACGTTACTCTGGAGTAGAGTGATTTACATTTGTGTAAGGCTGGACAAAATTTGTCCACTCTACTTCTACTCTGGAGTGGGGTTAACTTAGTTCATAGCAAACATGCCAGGTGTCTCAACCCCTACTGTCTGTCATTCATTTCAAGAGGTCATGAAGGGTCCTACAGTCTTCAACAATTAACAGTTGTAAGGGGTTAATAGTTTCATCTGGAAAGATGGAGCAATCAGAATATGAGCATGTTGCTTTTGATCATTACTAACACTGAATATTCTAATTCCTGTAAATTTCACCATGCTGAGGCACTTTCATCATTCTAGGCAGCCTTGCTGGGTTAGGTTATTCATTCCTGCATGAAAGGCTTCCCCGTAGTCTGAGTCTCAAAAACACAGTTTGATATTTCTCTAGTGGCTGGTGATGCCATGTCTGCACACCAAAAGGTAAGACCCATAGGTAGAAATCAGAGTCTGGACCCTGTCCCATTCATGTCTCTCATAGAGAGTGAAATGATGTCCTAACTCCTAAAATCTCCTTTTCCTGCTTCAACTTACAGATTGGTCACAGAAACCAAGTAGAAACTATTGGGAGAAGGGCTCATTTTATTTTTCCTGTTTCATCTCTGTCAGGATGCCACCTTCAGAGGAGCTGAACAATGCCAAGCAGACCCAGGGGATTTATTTCATTAAATATAGCTCTGGGTGCCAAACTAGGCAGATAAACTCCATTTCTGGTACCCTTAGTTCTAGTACAGGGGCTGGGCAATTATTTTGGGCAGAGGGCCGCTTACCGAGTTTTCGCAAGCTGTCGAGGGCTGCATGGGTAGCCCCGCCTCGAGGGCCCCCCCGTCACCATCTTGTTCCGCCCCATAACCCCTGACCTTTGCCACCAGAAGCATCCCCTGAAAGTACTCCTTTCAGCAAGGGATTTTGCTCCTTTCAGCAAGGGTTTCGTGTTTGAACCAGAAAAATACCAAATTGTATTCTAAAACGTGAACATCTAGAACATTCATTAATTTGGTTTCAAAAAATATTTTTGTCCTGATTTATATGCGTTTGTGTAGTGTACATAGAGGCAACTGCACAATAGCTTAAAATGAAGTTTTAGTCTTGTATATTGTGGGGGGTGAATACATGGAGTGAGGGAGCATGTGGGTAGGTGTATGTGGATACAGAGTCTGTGGGGGACTGTGTGTGGGGGGACAAAGGCTGGGGTTTGTGTATGGCAATGCGAGCGGTGGTGTATATGGTGGGGTGCGTGTGTGGGACTCACCGTATGAACACACACACACCCCTCCTCCCTGTACCAGCACAGTCCCGTGCTCTGTGGTCCGGTGATGGTGCTGGGAGCCACAGCCAGGTGGTGCTGGAGCAGGGCAGGGGCAGAAAAGCAGGAAGCTGGCTGGGAGTGGGGTGGAGTGGGGTGGGGCAGGGTTGAGTTGCTCAAGCCTGCTGAAGGCTTCCTCTGGGTCCTACTGCCCCTAGCTCCTGTCAGCTTTGACAGGCAGCTGGGGGCAAATGAGTCTTAATTTAGTAAATTTTTTAGGGGCCCCACAGGCCATATTTTGCCCACCCCTGTTCTAGTACCTATGTAGGCTTTGTCGTTGTAACTAGTGGTATGTTGCACGCATGACACTTACATTTCTAGAAGTCAAAGACATACTGTATTTACTTGAAATAAGACTAGGTTTTTTACTCTCCCAATCAGCATGGGAAAAAAGCCCCATCTATTATAATAATAATAGGCTCATCCTGTCTGTCCAGAGTACTCTGATTGGTCATTTCGGGGTTGTCAACCAGGGGTACACATACTCCTGGGGGTAACTTGAGAAGGCCCCAGGGGGTATGCGGAAGCAGTGCAAAGAAGCGGGGGCACTTCTGGTTTCACCACTGTGCATGCGAAGGACCCCCCACCCCCTCCACTCAACAAGCTGCTAAGGGACTCCCTGCTTCTGGGAGTACACAACCAAAAAAGGTTGAAAACCCCTACCCTGTGCAGTTTCTGCCCTCCTCTGTTTTGCTGCCCCTCCTCACTGTCACATGTAGCTTGCTTCCACATTGTGTTTGAGGAGGGAACAGAGCCTGAGCAGGGTCTGACAGTGGAGGAGGGTGAGGGGGAAGGCTGCAGGGGTAAGAACTTATGCAGGGCAGAGGACAAGGGAGCCACTTGACTCCCTGCAGCCACCATTTTCCCTACTGTAGCAGTGGGAAGGGGATGGATTCAGGACAACACTCCAGTAATTAGACTGTACACACCTGGAATATTATAACAACTTTATAAATGTTTCATATATAGAATGGAAAATGTATAGAATAGGGAAAATATAGAATAGGGTCATATTATACTCAGCGTCATCTTGTATTTGACAAAATACAGTAGACAAGATCACACAGCATGTACCGAGGGAAGTCAAACATTTAGAGATCTGCACCTCATTTTGGTATTGTAATATTTATGGATAACTATCAGTACAAAAGGCTCCTGGGCATGGTCCTAGTGCTAAAGAATGCACAGCAGGCGGAAGGTCAGATTTTAAAGGAAGACTGGGGATTAAGTCACAAATACGTTCAGTCACTGCTTTATATCAAGTTAACTGGACTACATAGTTTGATCCGTCTTGTACAGCTACTGACCTCACTTGCTAGCTCACCTACTGACCCATTTGGCTTTGAGTAAACAAAGAGGTCGGAGTTGCCACTAGAGGAGTACACCTCAGCATTCCCTTAGATTTAAAGGCACTGCTGTGCCCTATCAAACGAGCAGATTTTTACTGCCGGTTTTACCAAGGAATTTACTATGTACATCTAAATGTTTCACTAGGAGAAGAGAAAAGAAAGTTCAAAAAGACTGCAAAGTTTTAACAAAAAAAAAAAAAAGGCTATTAAAACCTAACAATTAGATTCTACATATTAACTCATTTCTTGTTTGTCTTGACAATTAAACTATGTTATGCAATACCATGCAAAGATAACCTATGACAGAGTCATTAATAGCAAATTTGTTAACAGCACTTTTTAAGCTACGGGAATTCATCTAAAAGTAGCCATTAAATAATGAATATCCTGCTTACTAATACACAGGTCTGAAATTAATTACAACATTCTGCACCAACCCACAGCCTTATCACAGCCTTGAACTGCCAAGGTACTAGGGAACATATATTCAGTATTAATGCTAATGAATCATCTTGATTATATTTCTAGATGTACACTTTCCATGAATACTTCATTCCAGAATTTTCAGGTAGCAACATACTTTTTGCTTTTTTTGTGCCCCTTTGTTTGGCTATCACACTAACAAAGAATAAAAGAGTAGAGTGTTTGAACACCTGATTTTACATTTTGCTTTGACTCCATTCTTATTATAAAGTGAATTGAAATATAATTCAAAAGGTTCTACTATAAGTATTATCTAACCTTGATAAAATCTTTGATGAGTTGGGCTGCTTTAACCCCATTCTGTACATTAAAGCTGATATCGACCTTTACTTCAGTGAAGGAATCTGTCAGTTTAATAATCGGTACCTGACAAAGGAAAGAGATGAAGTTAAAGTTAATGTACAGGGATCTCAACTGTAATCTATTTTCCAAGATCTACTGAACTTAAATACCACAATATGGTTTACAGATAGCTGCACTAGCAAACAAACTGTCTTCCAGATTTGCAGAGGGAAGACTGAGGGGGAAGGGGGGGACAACAAACAAACAAAGCAAGACAGTAAGATCACAAGAGCACTGAATTAATAAGATCTCACTTCCTTTTTGCCCATACCTTTAAATGATTTATGTTTCACTCAAACACAAAGTATTTTTAATTTAAAATCTACTACATATAATATAGTAATATTTATGAAGGCTACCTAACATGTAATTGCAAAGTCAAAATAGTATCATTTCTAGTGAGGAAAACACCAGAGGGAGACAATGATTAAGAAATAAAGACCTTTGGTTTCAGAAAATATTTTCAAGAGAAAATACAAATCTCAGGAAATCTATCAATGACTGGAAAGAATATATACAGACATGAATGATGCTTCAAAAAGAGGTCAGGAATGAGTTTCACTGAGTGAATTATTTATGTATTAAAAAACCTGAGCACAAGTTTCTCATCCAGGATAGAATTTGTCTATTTAAATATTATCACCTTTCCAACCCCTACAAAAATTAATTCAGAATCATTATAAGTACACTTATAACTAGGGTAGCTGATATAATTACTGCTATAAGCCACAGCCTGGTTGACTCTTCAGTAGTAATAAAATTGTATTATGTATTAATAAGTAAACAAATTTGACTTTGAATGTACGCAAAGTAATGTATGTTGGATAAAAACATTTTCCAAAGGACATTTGCCAAATTAGAAATTCTCTTTAAAAACATTAAACTGGGGGACCCAAAAAACAAACAAACAACTTACAGTTGCTTTGTCTAAAACCTTCACTGAATTTTCATCCGCTACATTGTGCTTTCTGAGAGCTTCTTCCAGGGTCCAAAGAGGTAATGTTTCCCATTTCCCAAACACAACTAAGTCAATATCACTGAAATTGGAAAAAAAAAAAATTGCAAAGATAGTCAATTTAAAATATACATGAATGCCAGTTTTTTGCTTTTTTGTTTTTTAATGTTACATTTCAGTGGCATACATGAGCATTGGTTCCTCTATAAATTCCCTTGAACAAAAGAAAGAAAAACTTCAAAATAATACAAGACATTTCGGATTACAAGGAACAATTGTTATATATTTTAAAATCAGATGGGAAGCAACCATCCGATACTTTGATAATGCTAATTGTGACAAAAAGTAAAGTTTAAAGTATGAAAACAGCTCAGACCTTTAACAGTTAATTTAGGCTAGGAACAGAAGTTGCACATAAACCAGTATAAGTGATTAGAAACAGTTCAAAACTGTAACGCAACAGAAATTCAGTGCACATACACCGCTTTCAACATGGCTGAAGCCAGTTTAATTAAACCTGGATGGATGTAGTACCAGACTTCATTGGTTTAGGTAAAATTGAATTTCTATCCTAAATCCCCTCCAGATTCGAGTTAACTCATAGTCCCCCAGAATCCCAGGATGCTTTGCACCTTCCCCACAAACACTACCTATCGTGCAGTGGGCAAGCCAGCCCTGGCCCAAGCTGTCTGGTCCAGCCCAACAAGGAGGCGTGCTCTACCACCTCCCAGCTTCTGGCCTGGGCCACTGGAGGCATGTGGCTGTATTTCCAGAATCAAAACTGAACGTCTGTTCACTTGCTTATCCGTTAAATCTACACAGTTTAGACTAACCTGTGAAGATTGAATCGATTCAGCTTCAGGCTTTTTGACTGTTTGTACTTAGCCTTAGTGAATAAATCAGAATAATTTCTAAAGCGTGAAACTTTTGCCTCTTAATTGACTTCTACTATGAAATAATTTGTTTTCTCATGTTTCTATTTCAGTCCTACTTTGCATCAAACTGGCTACCCAGCAATGCCACTGGGGCATCCCCAGGATGGGAGTCTTAACCAAGAGATTGCAGACCTAGTCATTGAATATACAGTTACAAAATTTGAAAAAAAAATACATATATATTTAGTAAGTATTTAGTTATTTAACATGTCTTAATTAAGTCTCCAAATTTTGCCTTTGAAGTTGAAGGTAGCAAGCCCTAAACAGAATTATCAATTAAAATATTTTCAGACATAAAATAGGGGAGATCTACAGGAGTCCAGTCTGAGCTGTATATTGGGCTTGCTGGGAGAGATTCTCTGGTGTGTGCCTAGAGAGGAACAGATTAATCTACTGATTGAATAATTGGTAACTGCCCACTATTGCATTGAGTTTCAGGTGTTTGGAAAGAGCAGCAAGGTTCAGCATCAGCAAGGTTAAGACATATAAAGGGAATCACAGGCTCCCAACAATTAAACTGGTGGGGATTCCAATAGCATAAAATTAAAAAGTTGTCTGTATTAATGCAAACTATGGGAGGAGACCATAATATTCCTTGCTTTCTTTTTTCCCTTAAATGAAAGCTTATTCAAACCCTTTGAAGACATCAGGGTACACTTTTATTCTAAACTTCCTTTTAGTTTGTAACTTCAGGTCTGCTTTCCAATGAGGCAGAAAAAAGAAAATATATAAATTCTATGATTTCGTTCATTCACTAAAACTCCATTAGGAAACTTACCATTTGTAAAAAGAGAATATATTCACACTAGACAAATTACGTATGGCTAACAATAAGCAATAGCAACAGGCAAGTTCAGCACCAGTTTTAACTGCATGCCATTTAGCTGACCAGGACAGACCACGTTCAGTACGTTTCAGAAAGGATATTCTCGGACTGAGTTTTAAAAAAGGCTTCCTGAAGTGGTAACCACCACTCTTGTCTCAGTCTACATTTGTGTCTAAACCTGCATTAAACCTGTTGCAATGCTAAACATCAGCAACTTTTTTCTGGGTTTAGACAAGAATAGACAGGACACTTAACATACTGAGAGTACATATGATTTTCAGGACAGCACAAGAGACCCTACCAGATGACCAATCATCCAATTCAGGGCTGTCCAACTGGTGGCCCATTGGCTGCACGGGGCCCATGAGGGATTAATGTGCAGCCCTTGGGCTCTCACCTGGCCACTGTTCCCCTTTTTGCTCTGGCTGCAACAGCGAACAGACACTCCAGGCCTCCTCCTCTTCCTGATTTTGCCCCAGGGGGCAGGGCAACACTATGGGGCACTGAACCAGTTTGGGCTGTGAGGCAGGACAGAAAAAATTGGGGCTGTGCACTGCAGTGGTGGTGGCCCACATGGGCACGTGCTGCAGCTGGGGAGGGAAGTCGTTCTCCCGTGCCCAAGTGGTACAGATGTGAGGGATACCTATGCAGATGCATCATTCAGCAGTGGGTTGGAGGGAGCACCACATGGCAGACCTCTGTGGCCTGAATGGTGGGAAGCTCCCAGGGGTTAGAAGCTGGACAGCCCTGATCTAACTAAACCCTTGACACTAGCATGTGTAACAGGATGTTCAAAGATTCTCTTTTAGAATAACAGAATCAAAAGCAGTCAGCAGCGAGTGCTTAACATGAGAACCTCAGATCTAGGCCACTGAACCTTGCAACTAGAAATTAAAGAAAAAACATGAATCAAAAGGAAGTTTGATGCCTGTGAATGGGTAACAAAGTAGATCAAAAGATCCATAGCTTATCATGTTAACCTAAAATGTTATTTTATAACTATACTAAGCACCTAAATTCTCCTGAACAAAGTAGGGAAGTGCTACAGCAAAAAAAATAAGGCAGGCAGGCAGCCAACGTATATTCAGAATATATTTTAATACAAAATATATGCAATGATTGTGTCTGATAGTGAGATTTAAAAAAAATCAGAACTTCCTTGGGTGGAATATCTGCTCAATACCCGACTATTTTCCTAAATCAGCATGCATATTACTCCAGCATGAGGAGACGGAAGATAAATGGACAGAACATAAGACCCTGAAACCCTACTGCAATAGAGATACAGAAAAAACTACTAACCTTGTTGGTAAATATAAACCAGTTTTAAAACTTCCAAATATCTGCACCTGAAACACAAAAAACATTATTTAATTAAAAAAATTCTGAAGTTGCCTAAAAGGCGTATTGTTTATTAAAGTTTGACTACTGCAACCCTCTATAGGTAGTTGATATTCCTGAACTGCACGTTATGAACAAAAAGGTTTATGATATAGTAATTTAAACATGTAACTAATTGAACAAATATTTGTAGGTCTAGTGGCCGATTGCGGGATTGTATTATTACTACAATCAGCCACTAGACCTACAAATATTTGTGTCAGTAAGTAGATTTCAAATAGCATAATTAAAATAAATACATATATTTCTAATGCAAGTATATGAAACGACTTCAACAGCTTTATTAGCTTTTCCATTGTAAACCCCCAATTTAAATTTTTAAATGGGAAAAAAAAAATCTCTTTATAAAAAGTGATTCATATTTAAGTTCAAATTTAGTTTACACTGTCTAAAGAGAAAAACATTAGAAAACCAGGTGAAAATAGCGAGGAAAAAAATTACTAGTTCAATTACTTTTTGTGCTTTTATGACCCGATGGGCAGGATTCCCCGGAAGGCCAGTCTGAAGGGGAAAGGAGTCTAGGAGAGCTAGTTGTATTCTACTGAAACCTTACTGAGGGTGCAGGGACAAACTATCCCAAATGTGCAGAAAGAATAGCAAATATAGCAGGTGACCAGCTTATCAGAGAACACTCCAGTGAACTTAAACACAAAAGGAAGCTTACAAGAAGTGGAAGCTTGGACACACAACTAGGGAAGAGTATTGCTTGGGCATGCAGGGATGAAATCAGTAAGACCAAAGTGCAGCTGGAGTTGAAGTTGGCAAGGGACATGAAGGGTAACAAGAAGGGTTTCTGTAAGTTAGCAATGAGAGGAAGGTCAGGGAATGTACGAGTCCCTTAGTGAATGGGAGAGAGAGCCTAAGTGATACATGAGGAGAAAAAGGCTGATCCTCAATGCCTTTTTCACCTAAGTCTTCACACACAAGGTCAGCTCCCAGACTATCGCACCAGGCAGCACAGTTTGGGGAAAAAATGAGTAGACCTCAGTGGTGAAAGGACAGTTTAGAGACTATTTCAAAAAGCTGGACGCGTACAAGTCCATGCTAAGGGAGTTGGCTGATATGATTGCCAAGCCACTGGCCGTTATCTTTGAAAAATCATGGCAAATGGGGGAGGTCCTGGATGACTGAAAAGGGCAAATATAGTACCCATCTTGAAGCAAGAGAAGGAGGATCCAGGGGACTACAGACCAGTCAGCCTCACCTCGGTCCCAAGAAAAAATCACGGAGGTCCTCAAGGAATCCATTTTAAGCACTTAGAGGAAAAGAAGGTGATCAGGAACAGTCAGCATAGATTCACGAAGAACAAGTCATACCTAACTAACCCGATTCCCTTTTATGAGGAGATAACTGGCTCTGTGGATGCAGGAAAAGCAATGGACGTGACATGCCTTAACTTTAGCAAGGCTGCTGATACAGTCTCCCACAGCATTCCTGCGGGCAAGCTAAGGAAGTACGGGCTGGATGAATGGAGTGCAACATGCACAGAAAGATGGCTGGATCATCAGGCTCAACAAGTAGTGATCAATGGCTCAACGTCTAGTTGGCAGCCAGTATCAAGTGGAGTGTCCCAAGGTTTGGCCCTGGGACCAGATTTGTTCAATATCTTCATTAATCATCTGGAAGGTGGGATGAAGTGCACCCTCAGCAAGTTTGCGGATGACATCAAGCTGGGGGGAGTAGCAGATACGCTGAAGGATAGGACTAGGATTCAGTGACCTAGACAAATTGGAGGACTGGGTCAAAAGAAATCTTATGAGGTGCAGTAAGGTCCTGCACTTGGGATGGAACAATCCCATGCACCAGTACAGGCTTGGAACCAACTGGCTAAGCAGCAGCTCTGCAGAAAAGCACCTGGGGGTTACAGGGGACAATAAGCTGGGTATGAATCAACAATGTGCCCTTGTTACCAAGAAGGCTAACGGCACACTGGGCTGCATTAGTAGAAGCGTTGCCAGTGGACTGAGGAAAGTAATTATTCCCCTCTATTCTGCACTGCTGAGGCCATATCTGGAGTAGTGTCCAGCTTTGGGCACACCACTACAGAAAGGATGTGGACAAGTTAGAGTCCAGCAGAGGGCAACAAAAATGGCTAGGGGGCTGGAGCACATGACTTCTGAGGAGAGGCTGGGAGAACTGGGTTTATTTACTCTGTGGAAAAGAAGACGATGGGGGAATATGACAGCAGCCTTTAACTACCTGAAGGGGGGTTACAAAGAGGATGGAGCTGGACTATTCTCAGTGGTGGCAGATGACAGAACAAACAGCAATGGTCTCAAGTTGCAGCAAGGGAAGTTTAGGTTGGATATTAGGAAAACCTTTATCACTAGGAGGGTGGCGAAGCACTGGAACGTGTACCTAGACAGGTGGTGGAATCTCCGTCCTTGGAGGTTTTTAAGGCCTACCTCAACAAAGCCCTGCCTGAAATGGTCTAGTTGGGGATGGTCCTGTTGTGAGCAGGGGGTTGAGACTAGGTGACCTCCTGAGGTCCCTTCCAACCCTAATTTTCTACGATTCTATTATGCAAAACTGGCGTGTGTTTTTAAAATGTGATTTTACAGATTGCAACTCTGGAATTTTTGAAAGACAGGATTTTGAAAAGATCCAATCTTTTCCAAAGTGCATGGAAAATGGTATACACAGGTCTCTTTTCTCAGCTAAACACAAACTCCAATAATTTCTTAAGGATCCATAAATACACTATGTTTGTTTGTCTCCTTGATGTAGCTGCGTTTAATCATTACTTACAATAAAAGTTCATAGTGAACTTGTACTGAATATGGTTTGACCAAAACTATGTTCTGGCTGCATACGCATGTTCAGATTATCTGGAAGATCTCTCCCAGGGTTGATTTTCTGGTAGAAAAACTTACTTGGAGACCCCTGAACACACATTTAAATGCTGAGACCCTGAGGAGCAAACAGCTTAACAGTGCTGATATTGCGCAGCCAGGGGGACTCTGTACACGCATCTCAGCATGGCAGCAGCGCACAAGGCAGCCCTGACCGGCTGATACAGAATGCCCAGGGGTCAGCCCATGTCTCCCTGTTACTTAATGAGGAAATCATGAAGGGGTATGTTCTCTTCCAGTAGAGTCCAGTGAATGACAGAATGTCTCCCGGGAGGTTGGAGAAGAGCAAAAGCACGCTGGGATGCTTGAAGACTGCTACAGCATCTCCCAGAAGAGAATGTGTAGACAGTCCCTCTCCCAGGAGAAACTCTCCTAGAAGTGACTTAATTCAAGTTATTTTTCTCCTGGAGTAGCCATTTCTGCTCTGGGAGTAAGAGCCTGAAACATCTGCATACTTGTGGTTTCTCCTGGTAGACCAGCAACTCTCACAAGAGAAACTGAATGTCTGTATATGGCCCCAGTTAACTCAGAAGGGCACAAGGGCCAGTCAGCATTTGGCTCCCACTCTCTATGGTATGTTACTGGTACAACAAGCAAGTCTCCTACTTTGTCTAATCTTCAGCAAGACCTACAGAAGCACACAGACTGCTGTAATGCACATCTTGTGTACTGATGTTTTTCCCTCAGCTATTTCAAATGGCTGTTTGTATTTTAATATTCCGCCCAAGGTATTATTTTTATGGTTACATAAAACAAAAATTTTGCAAGTGACTTGATATTTTAAATATATCATTTGGAAAAACAAAGTATTTTTCAGAGTTTAAGTTACTATGCCTTTCCTTTTTTTTTTTCTTACCCTAAAAAGCCATTTTTACATACTCTTCTGTAAGAATTCGTAAATTGTTATGTTCAGAGACGGGGGTGGGGGGGGAGGAGGAGGAGAGCGAGCATACGCGCAACTATGTATGAGCAATGGCTCCTTTCAAGCCAGCTGAAACTAATATCCAGATTTTTAATGAACTCGACAGCTTTATAACCCATGTACTAAAGAATCAACAAAATCTCTACCTGACTCCACTAGGGTCCAGACAAGCCATTACTTCTGCCAACAACACAGAGTGAAAAGTTCTTACACAGTAAAACAAATGGCCCAAAAGGCAAATGAATACCCAAATCTACCCTCACACAGCAGCAAAAAAACATTAGTGAGTGAAAAATATTATGCAGCATACAAATAAGAGACAAGTTGGTCAGAAATAGTGAATGAAACTTAGCAATGGAATGCATGTGACCTTTGTAGAAAAAGCGAGTAACACATATTTATATCTCAACACCACAACAATGAGTAATATGAGAAACATTTATGAGAAACATTTAAAAAAAAATACTAAAGGAAACCAATGCTTGATTTAACAATCAAACAAAAGTTGAAGTGCTTTAGTTCTCCTGCCATTTATATCTTTAAGCCATCCCAAATATGGAATATGACATGATTTATTTCACAAGAACAGCAGAGACAGTAAAATTTGTGCTGTAAGTAGTACTACTGGTAGCATACATTATTTTTTACCTTATATAGGGGCAAATGTTGGTTTTTGTTTGCAAACTGCTGATATAGTATGTAATGCCACAGTGGACTTCTTTTCCTCAGTGCACATATTTTTAGTATTCTGCCTTGAATTCTTAGACATGGACGCAATAAAATACAGTACTAATGCTTCTGAGGAAACCTTTACCAGAGTATTTCTGGACACAACCCATGCACCAGACAGATCCTGACAAACTTCGAGTTAATGCAGAGCTTGAAGAAAAAAAAAAAAATCCTCTTCAACTTGCCAGTGGCCCAAGAGGAAAATTTCCAAAGCTGGTTTATAATCCTTCTCTCCCAACATAAACTCTAAAAAAAAACCTCACTGTTTGTTTTGTACAGAGTTAAGTTTTCCACTTCCTGTGCTGCATCCAACTATGGTATTATCATAATTGCAATGCACAAGGTATGCAATATCGACTACTCTAAGGCCTATAAGGAGGACTATGCTAATATTTGGGCATGATTAAAGATAATGTGACACACTTACCCTCAATTTCACTACAGG